GATAAAAGATATATATAAAGCAAAAAGAACACCCAGGGGAGGACAGGCCTCTGTGGTATTGATAACGTTTTTTTTAATTTGGTTTATTAGCTTGTTTGGGGGTCAAACCTAGCAGTGCTCGGAGCTTACTCTGGAATCTGCACTCGGGAATCACTCCTGGCAGTGCTCAGGGAACCATACAGAATGATGTTGGGGACCGAACCTGGGTTGGCAGATGGAAGGCAAAAACCCTACCCACTGTACTATGGGCTGGAGCAATAGCACAGCGGGTAAGGTGTTTGCCTTGCATGCAGCCAACACGGCCGTTCCGAGTTCGATTCCTCTGCCCCTCCCGGAGAGCCCGGCAAGCTACTGAGAGTATTTCGCCTGGCAAGCGCCCCGACGTATTAGATGTGCCAAACACAGTAACAACAAAGTCTCACAATGGAGATGTTACTGGGCCTGCTCGAGAAAATCAATGAACAACGGGAGGACAGTGACAGTGACTGTACTATAGCTTCACTCCCCGAGGTCTTTTTTATTTTTGTTTGGTTTGTTTTGGAGCCACACTTAGTGTTGCTCAGGGGTTACAGCTGGCTCTGCACTCCGGAGTTACTCCTGGTGGTGCTCAGGGATCCATATGAAATGCCAGGGATCAAACCCAGGTCGGCTGGATGCGAGGCAAATGCTCTCGCCGCTATGCTGTCGCTCTGGTCCCTCTGTTTTGTTCTTGCTTGGGCCAGACTCAGCAGGGCTTAGGGATCATTCCTGGCGGGGCTTGGGGGAGCTGTGTGTGGTTGTTGAGGATCGAAAGTGTTAGCTGCACGCATGGCCCATGCTTTACTCACAGACTCTCTGGCTCCTTTCTTGCTTTTGGGACGGGACTTGCCAGCGTCCCTGCATGACTGTCCTATCGCTATTATAAAGTTTTGCTGTTGTTAATAATGACAGAGCTGGGGCCGAACCCATGGCCTAGTACAGCAAGACTGCATGCTCCTGCTCGGCCACATGTCCTGCTCAGTATCCTTTCTCTCCCCCTCTCTCTCCCTCTGGGTCACACATGTACTTGGTGGTGGCTTCCATGTGGATCTGTTGCTTGAACCCAGCCTTCAGCATGCAGAAGATATGCTCGGTCAGGAGTCAGCGTAAGCCCTGAGCACCGCCAGGAGTGATCCTGAGAGCAAAGCCAGGAGTAACCCCTGAGCGTCACTGGGTGTGACGCAAAAAGCTAAATAAACACATCAACACACAAATTGCACTGGAGCACGACAGTAACAAAACGCAGCTGGTTGCATGGAAGCATCTGGCATCAGGGTCTGGAGGAGCAGCCAGGAGGGAGGGGGCTGGTTCCAGCATCCTGAAGGCTTGACTGGCCTTGCAGGGGCCCGAAGAGGCGAGGCGGTGCCACAACCGTGTCCCCTGCTGCTCTGCAGTCACGTGTCCTGCTGTGGTGGCAGGTCCTGGCGACACGCGGGGGATCAGCCTGAGGCATGAGGCACATGGGCCTGGGGAGGCCCGAGTCCGGCCCTGATCGCCCACTGAGGCGCTGGAGCACAGGACCGAGAGTCCGCTCGCCTTCCCGAGCCCTGGTCTCGGCAGAGGCCGCGTGGGAGGGGGCGACCGTCTTCGCTCGCGATCACACGAGCCACCCGCGGGTCCGCCCGCGTCGCACGGCCGTGACCGGCTCTGACTGGCCCTGACCGGCCGCCTCCCGCCGAGACTCCGACGAGCACCCGACGGCGCGCTCAGGCCACGCGCTGTCCCCGTGCGGACGCCTGACCCCGACGGTCGCCAGGGCCGGGCGAAGGCCAAGCCGGTCCGGTCCCCAGAAGACCCGACGGGACACGGTTCGGTCCTCGTCGTCCGTCTCGGGGCCCCGCGCGGCTGCGTCCGGGCTGACCCCTGGCCAGGCGAGGCGAGGGGGACCGCCTGGGGGTGGGGGACCCCGGCGGGCCGGGCCTAACTCGGCGTGGCCGGCCCTGGAGTCGCTCATTCGCGGCGCGGAGTCGCCCCGCCACTCGCCGCCGCGCCACGACCCGGCGGCCTGAGGCGGCGGCGGCGGCGGCGCCTGCGCGCGGCCTCGCCGAGCCGGGTGGGCGGGGCCGGGGCGCGGGGGCGGGCGCGGCGCCGACTCTCGCCCACTCATTGGCCGGCGCGCTGACGGACAGGCGAGGGAGCCACTTGCTGAGGGCGAGACGGCGTCGGCGCGACACGGACCGCGTGAGGTGCTGAGGCGCGCGGCTGGGCGCGGCGGTTCCCCCTCCCGGGTTCGGTACGGGGCCTCGGCGAGCTGGCGGCCGCGGACGACTTTCGAGAAAGTTCTCCCTCTGCTGGGACTCGGTCCCGCCGACCTGGCTTCACCGAAGAGGCTCTTTCTTTCGGCCTCGTCCCTGAGCTTAGGTTCCGTAGGGGCAGCCCATGTGACCCGGAGGACCCGAGTGGCCGCAGCCCCTGCCCCCGGGGCTTCGGGAACATTCCAGAAGGCCTCCCAGGCTCGCACGTCAGTCAGCGCACCCCGGGGTCGCGCGTGCCCGTTAGAGGCGGTTCGCGCACGTCAGGGGCTTGCTGCTTGGTGACGGGCTGTGCGAGCGACACATTTTGGGGGCCTTCAAGCGTGTGTGTGTGTGTGTGTGTGTGTGTGTGTCTCCTTGCGGGGAGCTGCCCAGAGCCCATGGTCCCAGCACCCCCCACCCAGCAGGCCTTCAAGCGTGTGTGTGTGTGTGTGTGTGTGTGTGTGTGTCCTTGCAGGGAGCTGCCCAGAGCCCAT